TATACCGCTCATCATTCAATTACATCGATCAACTTGTCATACTATACCATAAATAGAGCATTAACAAATTCAACAATATCTACATACATATAATGTGGTTAAACATACAACCTACAAGACTTAGGGTTCACCCCTCTATCCTTATCCCTCATATATGTCTATAAGCAATTGATAATCCCATTTCCCCTACTTGGTGTGACGATTCTTGTGGAACGACGCTTTTTTGATGGCTCTTGTCACTAGTCTATGTCTTTCTCAATGTTCTCTTATAGGTCTCCTCCTGTGAGCACTCTAGGTTTTCAAAAATACACTTAATGACCTAACCCTTCTCTATTTTCCTTTTTGAATTAGTCTTCGGGTTGGGCCCAAAGTCTAGCCCAATTATTTCTAATGAGTTCTTCCATTTATTTTGATTAATAAAATATATATCTTATAAATAATATTTTATTCAAATTCATTAATTATTTATTTTAAAAAAAATATATAGGATGTTACACAAAGTATGGAAAGTCATCCAAAAGTTGTTTAGGACTACTACAAGCTCCAATTCCTTACCTTTTGTACCTTACAATTGGTAAGCAACATTCTTGATCAAATAAGAAGAAGTCATTTGGTGAAACATATTAAATGTAAGCATTAAATGTACCAATGGGCACATATTCACACAAGAAAGCAAGATAAAGTATGGTGAAGTAAGTCAACAAATGTAATTCAATGATTTGTAACGATCATCTTCATATGTTACCTTAATAAAGAAGCATAGACAAACTCAAAGAAAAAGAAGAAGCACATATATTTCATTCTTTATTCTTTCTCTATAAAACTATTCTTTATACCATATTGTTGTATCATTCCTTGCTTGTAAGACAATTCTTTGTTATTTATTCAACTTAAACTTTGTGTTTATCTTGAAGTTTAAAAAGACTTTTGTTGTTAAAAGAATACTTGGTGTTGAAACCTACTTAGGTAGTTTACTTGAAAAGACAAACCAAAGAAAACTTAGGTTGAGTCATTAGTGACTTTTGTAAAAAATATTTATATTTTATGAAAAATGGCTGAATTTGATCAAGAATTAGATGTAGTTTCAATGATTGAGACAAGTTGGTATAGAAACACCTTGTATTATTTGCTTTAGTGTCCTTGTATCTAACTTACTACTTACACAAAAAGTGTTAAGAGTTTTTGTTGACACAATTCTCTCATTCTTTTGTCTATCTTTACTCGACATTAAGTTTAATAAATTTAACTTAATGTATTTTGAAGACGAGATTGAGCTATATTTTAAGTTGCCCTAACCTAATGAATGTTATATATTATTTTTAAAATATAATTATTTATATCAACATTGTTTATCTTAAAATATATATAGTAAAATATATCTTATTATAATTTTATATCTTAAATCCACAATTTAACAATATATAATATAATAAATTAATATATCGTCAATAAAACGGGTTAATTTAGTCTTTTCTCGTACACTATTGAATTTTAATAAGTCATATTTAAATTATTAAAATTGATTCTATCACAATTTAAAACTAAATAAAATGATGACAAATTAACCTATTCACACATGATCACAATTTCAAACCAATAACAACAATAATAAACTAATGCAACCCTCCCCAATAGCATATATTATGACTCAATGTTAGTTGTTTGTTTTATAAGGAAAGTGCTATTTATGTATTGATATATCAGTTTTATACTTTGTTTTATTGACAATAAGTTTTTTTATATTAATTATTATTTAAAAATAGTATAAAATAATGTCATAAAGTGTGATATAAATAATATTATTTTAAAATCAAATAATGGAATGATGGTGTGGTTAATTTCCGGTACGAACTTTTATCTTTTATGAATGTGAGTTTAAATCTCACTGAAATCACTTTTCTTGCTAGGTAAGAAATTCTCTATAAAAATCTTTTGACTCTTACACTTTGTTTAGTAACGTTGATTTTGTGAAGAAATTGGCCATAAGGAAAGAAATAGACCCAATTTAAAAATTGGTGTGGTAGTTTGATAGCACAGATAAACAGGGGAGAGAAGTTAAAAGTTGATGAATTCCATGTGTTTTTTTCTTCTTCCTTTTTTCGTTAAGTAGTGTGGAAAATGCAACGAAAGCTGCAACTTTTGAAAGACAAAACTATATTAGCAAAAATAGTATGATCAAAGGCCCATGAACTATAGAATAATTTCGTAGGAGTTGTTGAGTTGGTTTTTTTCATTCGACACCACCTACTCTGTTATTGGTAAGAAGATCATTTAATGTTTATTTGTTGATTAATGGTTATTCTTCTCAATCTTAAATGGTTACATGCATGTGTTTATGTTAGATCCGTATATATTGATTTTGTTGTGTATATTGTGAATCTATGCCTATAATGGAGTGTTGACCATATTTTATTTGTTTGAAAGTTCTAGATTTAATTTGTTGGAGAAGCTGCTATTTTTTTTACAGATTTAATCACATATATCAATCGATTAAATAGTATAATTATGGTTGTTTTCATCTTAATTGAGTCTATATGTACACAATGGATTATAGAAATTAGTTAGCTTTATTTATTTATTCATTTTAATCGATTGAATTTTTATTTTAATTGATTAAAAAATTCATTCTTCTTTGTAATTGATCGCATGTTGGATCTGTGTTATTATGAGAACCTAACCTCTATTTTTTGTTTGGATATGATTTATTTTGTATGTGATTCATCTATTTTATTTATTTCATGAGTTTTAGTCAAATGATGTTGGAAGATATATATTATTCAATTGCAATATATACTAAACAATCGTTTGAAATATGGTTTTAATATATTGAGTTTAATAAAATTCTTTCTGAAATACTTTTTAAATCAACTAAGTTAAATTGGTAATCAATTTTATTCATTAGTTATTTGTGTGGAAATCATCGTTAATTGATTATAAATTCGACGTAACTGATTAAAAATCGAATGGATTGTTTTCATATTTCCTAAACTACTTTTTAATCAATTAAATTTAGTAAGAAAAATTGATTAAATTATTGGAGCGTGTTCATGCACACTAATTTGTCATTTTAATTAAACAATTTTAAATAATTGATTGAATTATATTGAAGCGCGTTCATGCTTGTGTTGCCATTTTAATCAATTGAAATTCTCTAACAATCGATTGAACCATGCATATTAGCGCATGTTCATGCTCCTAGACTATCTTTTTAATTGATTGACCTTCAAAACTAATCGATTGAAACATGTTATCACAAGTGAGTAGTTTGAAGTCCAATTTAATCTTTTACACTTAAAAACATAATCAACTAAAAAAGGTGTCAACACCTTACCTTGAATTGAGTTAATCCACTAACTCACTAATTTATTCAATTATATGTAGATTTTTATCAATTAGGTTACACCAGCAGTAATTTATGCTAACAAAATTGCTAGGTAATCAATTAACTATTTTAAAAAAACTTACTAAATGAAAGTTACTCATAATCAATTTTACATTATGTAATGGATTAAATGAATGTTTGGACATTAGTTATTTTTTAATTAGTTTTTAAGGGCAGCAATGAAATATCTTATATTTTATATATAAGTTCTTTTTTAACTTTCTTTCTATCAAAACCAAATAATTTCATAATATTATTTTTCTTCTCTCTTCCTTTTATTTTTCTTAAACCAAACAATCCAAAAGTATATATGTTTCAATCATTTTGTCTCTTTTGAGCCACCCTAAACCCATTCTATCGATGTTTTTCACTTATTTTTCTCTCACATTTTTTCTATTCTACTATTTTTTTTCTTTCCTATACCAAACGGAGAATTAGGTACTAGTTGAGTAACAACAATATAATGTGAAACTTTTTACAATTTGAATCTGTGCAGCAAATTTCTTGATGACTCAAATGACACCCTCAACATTTCATTGCACTTATTTCAATAATATGCGGATGTCCCCATTCTATTAAGAAAAATATTAATTTAATTTGTCTGAAAATTGGAAGTATAAAAGGACGAATTTGTGGCATTTGAATCCAAACTTTTTAAATAAGTATAATGGTTTGGTCATTGGTGTGTTCTAATCAAAATTTTCACTCAGTTGATATAATGCAACTACATATTTTAATTTAATTTCTTGTGTACATCGTTTTCTTTTCGCTTTATGCAATACATAAAACAGATCTGCATGCTACTAGTGCTAGAACTGTAGTAGTATGTAGGGCAAGAACACATATATTGACTTGAGAGGGTTTAAAGCGCACAAGGGCAATTGACTGGGTGGAAAGTAGCTTTATAAATATTGGGCCCGGCTAAAGAAAATACTTTCCTCCTTAATTTATTCGTATGCATCAAAGTATAAACTTTTCTCCTGAATTGCACCAAAAAGTTTCAGCACCACAAATTTGACACATTGGTCCATGTGCAACAAATTTCAACTTTCTGTTAGCCACATTTCAAATCCGTAATCTTTTATGTTGAAAGTTATTTTCCAAATCCATGTGAAAGGGATTTTGCTCCATGACTCAAAGTAGATTCTGTAGTGCTACAAATAAAGAAATTAGGGATAGACAGGTTAACATAATTGACAAAAACGCGACTTTTAAACACCCATAATAATTATTACTTGATACAGATGCAACATATATACAATATTTAGACAAGACAACTTTTACTTGGCAAAACCCAAATTATTTAGATCAAATTAAACATTCAAAAACAAAAAACTAGTTATACTAAGAATGGGCCAGGCTTATTCCTTAGTGGACTGCTGTTGTTATTGTTCCATTAGCCCAAGCTGGTGTTACTTCAATAATGGGCCAGGCTTACTCCCAAGTGGTTAGCCCATAGCCCATTTATATGTGAAAGAGCTCTCAACCCATACAAAAAAATAACTATTAATCCTCCTACCTCGTAGATCCATTCAATCCCTTGATACTCGTTCCTGTATACAAGATTAACGGATTTCAGTTATCTTGATTTTGTCATACCCCAAGAAATGTTTTTCTTTTCGACCAACTTAACACACAAGAAATTAACAAAAGCATTTATTGATTTGTGTGATCTTGATTCGATTATCGTTATAGAAGGATGAGGAAAGAGACGGTGGTGGTGGTGAGCACAACGCTTGCGGTGGTGGTAGTAGGGGCGTTGATCAGAAGTTGGAAGCGGTGGAAAGAACAACAGCTGAAGCAAACGAAGAACATCATTCGAAAGTTTGCTAGGGAAAGTGCCACTCCGGTAACAAAGCTTTGGCAGGTTGCTGATGACTTGGTGTCTAGCATGAAAATCTCTCTTGCTTCTTCCGGTGAAACCCCTACTCTCAACATGAAAATTTCCAACGTTACATCCCTCCCTCAAGGGTATATAACTATATCTTTTCCCGCTTTCATTGAACTAATAATAAAGGATAAATACTGTGAAGGACTTTATAGCCTGTGAGTATAAGGACATAAAAGACAGAAGGGTTAATTACACGTTTTACTCTTTTGTTGAATTTTTTTTTTCCACAAGTATTGTCTCTCAGTTTACAAAATATCATAAATTTAAAAAATAATAATAACATGCATGCATGCATGCATGGGTACGTGGCAGAGACGAGGAAGGGTTTTATTATGGGGTTAATTTGCAAGGAAAGCATTTGTTGATGTTGTGCGCGCGGCTAGGAGGAAAGAATATGCCTGTCTCTGCGTTACAAAGAGAAGAGATTTCCATCCCCGATGCTGTCTTGGCTGGTACTTCTGAGGTAGTTATACCATAATTCAGCTGCTCCAAATTTGGCTTTTTCTGTGGTATGAATAGCAATGGTTGTTTCTGTTCACATGATAGTTTTTTAATGTTGACGTAACACGTTCATTTTTTGTCAGGAAATAACAGACTATGTAGCTACAGAGATAGCTAAGTTCGTATCGGGGCATCCTGAGATTGAGGAGAGTGCAGGCGCCAAAAAGAAGAAAATGGGCTTCACCTTGTCATATCCAGTGGACGAAGTTATGCCTTTCGCGGCTACCACATTTCAACGGAAAGGCTCAAACGACCCAGTTTAGTAGCCCCTGCATTGTTCTAATGTGTCTTACATTCTTATAAATTATGCATAGGCACGGAATTCAGTTATTACAATTAATTAAACCCTTTTCATGTTGCAAGACTAACACATTCATGATGTGGAACCAGGTTCGCAAAGGAATGGTTAAAGACCTTAATCGAGCGTTGACGAACCATGGAATGAAAATGCACGTTTCTTCACTGGTTGGTGGCCCTATCAATTAATTTTGTAAATGTTACATCTTCATGTGTCTTTGTCTTTCCATGTCTGAAACAACAGGAGATTCAAAACATTAACACTGAATAGGTTGATGAAACTATCGGAGGTTTGGCCGGTGGAAGATACTATAACACAGAGAGTGTGGCTGCAATTACCCTTGGCATGAGCACAAATGCTGCTTACGTAGAACCAGCAGAGGAAGTTGCTAATGAACTTACACAATCTCCCAATTCAAGTGAACTGGTTAGTTAATGACTATTTTTTTTTTTTATTAGTCAAAATTTCAATGACAACAATAAGGTTGAAACTTAAAAACCTTTACAACACGATTAGTTAATAACTATTATATCATTACAAAAAAAAAATTAATGAAGAAACAATTTATATGTAATGTTTTTAAAATCTGTCATTAAATTTTTTGTGACCCATTATTATTATTGAAGAAAAAGCAATTTTCATCGCCGAATTTGGTTACAAATACATTAGTTTTTATACTGTGAATTGAGCAACTTAAATGATTAATTCGGGTGTAGTATTGCAGGTAATAAGCATGGAATGGGGAAATTTCAGTTCCCCTCGTCTTCCTTTAACATCATATGATGCTAGTGTAGATGCTGAAAGCTCAAATCCTGGTAGTGGGGTATAGCTCCTGAAATCACTGTTGTGCATTTACCATCGTAATATATATAAATCATCTAAACTGGCCCCTGAGTTTTCTTTTCTTTTCTTTTTTCTTTTTTACCTCATCAGACTTTCGAAAAGCTTATTTCAGGGATGTATTTGGGAGAAGTTGTGAGACACGTCTTGTTGAAGTTGGCCAAGGAAACAGCCTTATTTGGAAGCAGTGTGCCTCCAAAGTTAATGACTCCATACTTACTAAGGTATCTAAACCCATAATTAGTTCCTCATCTTGCAAGCTTTCATAACTTTATTGCATGATATTTTTAAAATGTGCTTGGATAAATATATTGATTTTAGTTAAAATTGATTTAGCTTTGAAGTTATTCTCACAAGATTTTTAGACATGTCGTCTTTAATTATGATTTTTAGGATATATATTACCGAGGGATTCCTCCTGATAAGGTATTATCTTCAATATGTTTTATTTAACACAATCTATTTTGAACCCAAAATTAATTTTTCATGTAAACATTTATTTAAAATCATGTTAACTTGGATGAAAGACATAAGTCCAAACACATACTAAACAATGTCACGAACTAGCTAGGCATGCGTGATGTAATTAATTAAAATAATGAGACTAACTTGTGACTTTGTATAGATCCTTTGATATGGCTGCTATGCATCAAGATACATCAGAGGATCGTGAAATAGTGGGTGAGAAACTGAGAGAGGTTTTCGAGGTAATTAAGAATGTGGCTAGATTTAATTAACAGGTGTAGCTTAGATATAATAACATGTGCGTGTTTGAAAACACAGATCGGTAGTTGCAGCCCGATGGCACGTGAAGTGGTGGCCGAGGTGTGTGACATAGTAACAGAGCGCGGTGCACGCTTAGCGGGAGCAGGAATTGTGGGGATAATAAAGAAGCTTGGGAGAATTGAGAATAGAAAGAG